ATTTACTCAGTATAACAGAAGGAACTGATGAGATGGTAACCCCGAACATCCTAGAGTCAGAGAGATAGTGTAAGTATGATGAGTGCATAGATGTGAACATGGACACATACACAAGGATGAGTGCGTGTAGTATGAGTGCATTTGTGTATAGGATGGATACATAAGACACAGTGTATGTAGGTGGATGGTACGGAATCATATGTGGACGGAACAGTGGGAATATAGTTGTGCGAAAGGTACAGATGAATGAGTACATGGATTTAAAAATGTATTACTGTATGCATGTATATGTGTGTATGAGTGTGCATGTGTGTATATATATGAGAGCGTGTATACTAATATATTTGTGAGTGTATGAATGACAGTGCAATCAAAGAAACCATAAACTGTGTTGCTGTATGTCTGTTCATTAATGAGAACAAATGGAATGAAGGGTGTAAGCAGCAAGAACGTCATCAACGCACACAATCCACCAAAACATAATACGTCAGTACCGGACAGGTCACATACCAGTAACAGGACATAACTTAAAAGTGACACGACCAGACGAAATTACAGACAAAGCGACACAAAACACATAAGACATGGAAGAGTGAATATCACTACGTGTGGATGTACTCGTTTTTTTATGAATGTAAGTACTGGCATTGGTAAACGCATATGAAAGAGTTGGCGTGTGTACGTAATGTCAATTAGGTATGCACACACGTATAATTATGAAAGGACGTACAAATATGTAGTGTTGTCTGCATGTATGAGTACTCGAGTGCATGTACACATACACCTAGTTGGGTGCGTCCATATACTCCGGGATTCATAAACAAAACCATCCCACTCCACAGCATGCATACAACATGCACATGACCGACAGGACTCATAACAAAATATTACTGACAGCAAATAGGGAATACAAGTGACTCGATAATGACAGGACTAGAACGCATAACCTCCAATACCACCCCATCACTGGGATGATAGCAAAGGTTGGTAACGTGATACACATAGTCCCGGCAAAAAGCCACGCTAGAATCCAGCAAGACGGCAACGACGAGAATTGACTGAATGGCCTCCCGCTCCCCTTCCCCCCACCTTCCCCTAACTCTTTCGGATGCACTATGAGTTTAACCCCCCAACCCATTCCCACAGAGAGCACTTGAGTTCGTTGCCCAACATGCCACAACAATTCTTATCGCCGATCATTTGGATCTCAAAGCGTGAGCTGGACGGTCCGGTTATATGGTATTTACGTACACCGGAGCTTAGCTATCAACACAACCCGATCACATAATAACAAATGACGACTGGACCCGCTTAAGACTCCACACAAACTCTCACACACATATCCATTACATGACTAACCCGTTCATATTACAGGAAGACAACTATAAGACCACTACGGTCACACGCGAAAATTTTCACATCTCGGAACTATTCACATTCAAAAACTGTTTTCAGTACTTTTTGGCAAAATTAAAATACTCAAAATTTTAAAACAATAAATGGTGGCCGAAAGGTCGTTGTGTTTGGAAGCTCGCTCTCCTTCGAGATACGCCTAGCCAGATCAAAGGGAGACAGAACAAACAGGAAACATCAAGAATGAAGAAGGAAGACATGCACCAGTGACATCAGGACGAGCGGTTTGATTCGGATGGAAACATTTAGCCAGAAATGGCACAAACACCAGTATTCAGTCACGAAAGTGACGCAAATAACCCAGACCACAAATATAGGCGGAGACTGTTAGCAGCCTAGGCTAGCTAGCAGCAGTCTGAACGTGGTCGAGCTTTTATTTTTTTTCTCAAAAGGACTTGGACTTGAAGGCGCGTGGCCCGCAGCTGGGATCGAACCCGGTACACCGGCACTACGAAGCGTTCGCATCGACTTAGCCGACTTTTTCCCCACGAGTTGTTGAAATTACATTTTTTTAAACGATATAAACATGTGTGCAAAACGGGACATGAATGATACACGCACTTTACAATATATAAACAGCACACCATAATGATGAGGTTTACTGTTGAATGAAGAATCGACATCACCGCACTCGGGACACACCCAGAAGTGCTCTGTCCCCCATCTTCAGCAGCAAGCTAAGACTATCATGATGAGGAAGACTACGTACACAGTACAGCAAGGCGACCTTCACTTCAAGATAAGCCCTGGCCTTGGCCACGATTGGTTAAACATGTATGTCATAAACAATCGTCGGAAAACCTAAACACGGGCTGCGGTGATGAGCACGCCGCCAGGAAGAAAACTTGGGGGGGGGGGGGGGGGGGGACTCAACACCCCCTCCCTCTTTGATTTACAAACTTTATACATGAAAAGTAAAGAAAGAAAAGAGGAAGAGGATCAAGCCCCCCCCCCCTCTCCCATGCCCTCCTCGCGACCTTGCAAACAATTGGGTAGGCGGTTCATTTCTCTCCAATCACCCCCCCCCCCCAGTTAAGTTAAATAACACTGGAAACCCGGACCAGGTCCTTCTGACCATCGTAAAAATGTTTTAGGCAAATAACTGGGCAGAGTGCCCTTGTCGCCTAGAAAAAAAAAACTATTACCCAGAGGGAGGTCTAGGTTTAACAAAATGGAAGCGGGTGGTGTCTCAAGGAACCTGAGAGCCCCCCCCCCCTTTCCCCCCACACACGTATGTGCCAGGTGACAGAAAGGTTGTTGCGTATCCTTTACAGGACGTTGCAGAACCAACCCTAACAGCCCTTGGCTGTTGTGTGGTTTCTCTAGGCAAATTTACGTCCAGTAGTTTGCCATTGCTTCCTGGGGGGTCAGCTTTCTTGATACCACTGTCGAAACCAACGCAAGGCGCATTAGCCGCAGCTGGGATCGAACCCGGCATTATGAAGAGAAATGTTCGCATCGACTTATAAACAGAGCCGACGCCGGGTGACAAGATAAAACAAAACACACGATGCCCGATGTCTGCAGAAATTCTCTGCTGTCATATTACAAGGTAAAGGGAATTATTTTAAAACCATCAAAAAATATAAAAGCTGTTAATGTTGATCATTGTCAGTGTCCCTTCTGTATCTAACTGGTAAACAACTTTTGAACTATATGTTTACCCTAAAATTCTTTCAAAGTCTGAGACATCCCCCCTCCCCAACTAATCCCTTTCTTTGTTTTGCCTAAGTGTTGTTGGTGGCAAGATCATCTTGTTACCTACTGGAATTATTCTCTCTGGATCGTGATCTCTTCTGCCTTGCCCACATGTTCCCAGTAGGTCACGGCCACGTCTGCCTTGTCAGCAACTATTCCACCACGCTGTTCAGTTTCCTTTTTTCAACATTTTTAATTCTTCTTCTTAGCTTTCACCAGTTCTGGTTGTTCATCCACTTCTGAACTTCGGTCTTTTTCCTGAACTTGAGTTTTGTGTGCAAGTCCACTTTACAGGTCTGACTTATCTGTACGCAGTCTGTTGGTTCCTCGCTTCTCAGGCAAGTGCATTCAGCCTCTGAAGAAAACATACCTAATGTTTTGTTTCCCTGTGTGGGTTCTGGGGCCCTATTATAGGGGAAACAAAAACAGACCCACTGCATACCCAAAAGCATGTCATAAGAGTCGACTGATTGGGAGCTTCCTTTGAAGTCAGAGTGCATCTGCCCGAGAAGCAAGGAACCAACAGTCTGCATATAAATTAGTCAGATCTGTCAAACGGATGCACACCAAACACTTAGGTTCTGAAACAGTACTGGGGTCCAGAAGTGGGCAAACAACTAGAACTTCAGCCGGTGAACATGAAGAAAAAGGACAGAAAAAGTAGAGTTAGAAAAAGAAGACAAACTCACTTGTCTTGTTTTCACATACTCGTTAGGTGGGCAGTGAATCTGCCCCCTTCCTCTTACATCTGTGCACCAGAACCCACACAGGTAAAACGAACTAACTAACTTTATAATGGAGTTTGTACTGTACAAACAAAACTAACAATTACGAAGTTGTCGCCTGTTGTTTCCCTGGGACTATTTCACAAGGAAATCTAATACACCTCTCAGAAAGCGGACCAATGTTCATCCAGTCAATATACAACCACCTTCCAGTCATAGAGATAAGAACATTCTCCCAGCACTGCTGATAAAAGCAATCACGTTCTATAGTAGACAGGGACACTTACCTTTTGGACTTTGAGGTGTACTTTCATGAGAACTTTAAACATTACAATAATTGTACAGTGAACCATAGGCAAACTTTGAAATGTCTCACATTTTAAACATGTCCGTCTCCAGTGAGCCGCTGTTTTGAAGCGTACAAAAAAAAAGACCAAGATGACACAGTCTTAACTCTCTGAGTCCCAAGATACACATCATACTTTCATAGGTTCCTACCTAGAAGCCCACTGAACACATGATGAGCTGATTTATTACGTTCTTTACTACCCCCTGGGCCTGTGATGCTAAACCCCCTGGGACTCAAAGAGTTAAATGGGTGACAGGTAAAGTCAGGGGTAACAGACAGTTTTCTAAAAATGAACCAGACTATTTTTTACAAACCCTCATTTGTCACCTTTTATGACAAGTATCATAGGTTTAGTGGTACCATTCTTTGCTTCACTTACGGGCACCAGAAGAACATAAGAAAAATAACCATACAAGAACAGTCCATAGATACTTCATATAATTAAAACAAAAATTTTTTTAATATATGTGTACATGTACACATATTGATAATCTGTTTAAATCTCAACACTAATTACTGGCATCATGAGGACTAACAGCCTGCAATGGTAGGGGCAGATAAAAGAGAGACAAAAACAACATAAACAAAAGAGCTGAATGAGAGCAGACCATAAGGCAGACCAGGAAGAATGGACAGATGATCTACAAAGAGACCCACAAACACTTGAAAGTTACAGACTGGAAATAGAAGGCAATCTAAAAGACAAATGGTTGTTGGTGATACCTGCAGCAATGAATCTCAAGAGCTTGGAATGTTGCAGATGAAGATAAGAAGAAGAAAAAGAAGAAATACAAATGAAATCCACTTCAACTTACCACCCTGTCTGGCAATTTGATTCCTTTGAGGTATTTGACATTCTCATGTTGTGTGTTGATGATGTGTGTCAGCTTGTGACCATTAATCTGCTCTTCAAACACCCACATGCTCACATCCGGATCAAACTGATCTGGTTTGGCCAGGGCATTGTTGCCAACAATTTTGGCTATGGCCGAACCCCTAGGAAGAAAAAATATGTTTTTGACACATACATCTGTAGCAAACCTCATACACATTTATAGTAGGGTGACCATATGTCCAGTTTTTCACGATAACAGTCCCTTTTTTTCTGTGTGTCCAGGCCATACTGCCGGCACTATTTTTAAAACAAAAGTCAATTGTCTCATTTTATAGAAATCTAGGAATAAGCACAAGAGTAAAACATACACATAGTTCAGTCTCACCTTATTAGATTTCAGTCTCACCTTATTAGATTTCAGTCTCACCTTATAAGATTTAAGTCTTACCTTATTAGATTTCAGTCTTACCGTATTAGATTTCAGTCCTACCTTATTAGATTTCCATCTTACCTTATTAGATTTCAGTCTTACCTTATTAGATTTCAGTCTTACCTTATTAGATTTCGGTCTTACCTAATTAGATTTTAGTCTCACCTAATTAGATTTCAGTCTTACATTATTAATTAGATTTCAGTCTACTTGTTTAGTATGCCCTGTTTTTAGCTCAAAATATTACGGTCACCCTATTCATAGCCAACCTCCTAGATGGAAGTAATATTATATTATTATATCTATGTTTAATCACTACAGGTGGGTAGAAAGTATTTGAAAGTCACAGTTAACCTCCATCATCTGGATCTACACACGTGGGCACGCAAGAGTAAATGGTAATGAAAGAGCTGATCAGCTTTCAAGTAATGCACCAATGCAAACAGGCAGAATAATGAACAGAACTGATATCATCAAGTCAACGCGGTTCAGACTAGGTTGGGGGATAATGACGAATCTCTGACTCTAATAGGACTGGTTGACTGAAGAGTTATAAGCATAGTGAAGCATGTCTATGTCGTCTCTGAGGTAAGGACACGAGATACTAGAAGTATAACTAACTCCTCATGGAACAATTAGCAGAAGTACCCTGGAGTGGCTGCTGCATCGGGGGACTGACCACGCATGGGATGCCCGAAGACGTCGACTGTGATAACATAATATTAACCATTCTGACGCTCATTCAACCTGTCATCATGATCATGGTAATGAATTATTTTAGAATTTAATCAGCTATGAATGATCTTTCATGTTAATCTACAATATGATGATTTCTTACCTACCACCACAGTCTAAATAGGCTAGCTAACAAAATAAAACAATTACTAAGTTTGAAAGTACTGAAGGTAGCCAAGTTGAACCTTAATTACCCACGGGACAAGAGAGGACAGTAAGAAGACATCAAACAAACCGTAAGAAAAGTTGGTTAACTGTTGGTATAATTTTCCAGTTTCACCTCCAGACACCCTTAAGCTATCTCCATTAAACCAAATCAATCTTTAAAACGTTTACTTTATGCCTAGTCTTTCATATTCTAAAACACATTCATAAATAACTTTAATTACTGAACTTTAAATTTTAAATCGTCTCAGTTGGCTTGCTGTTTTTCATATTATAACTGTTTTTGTTTCGTTTCGTCTTGGCCGATTATCCAGTACAAATAAGTTCTCAACCAAACGCGCAAAATAACTACTTACCAATTTCCAGAACCGACGATGCATATCTTTTGTGGGGCCATATCTGCAATGAAACCGTGAAAGCGGTAAAGAATGAGTGAAGCGGGGAGAAACTGGAGATGATGTGGTCAGATCCGCAAAAACTGCTGATCCCCCGACCTGACGATAGCAACAACAAGCAAGCAGACGTACATACAGGTGACCTTTGCCCCTGGCTGGTCCAGATTTTTCACGGCAGATATGCCAAATGACATAAAAAGTAAACATCCGAGGCAAAGTTAGAAATTATATCAGACAGACTGTAGAAACAACAACATGCAGCAGATTCATTGAGAAACAGAAAAAAGAGCGAATGGTTTGGTTTTTTAGTAAGACTGCAGCCAGAACAATTACCAACGCAGGCGCTGCACGTGAAAAGATCTGAAGTTTGACCTGGAGGCTGCCTGAGGAAATATGAACAGATGACATTAGAGAGCTTCTACATCGACACTGAAGGACAATAGCGATTGCTGCCTATCAAGCAGCGGATGGCAAACTGTTCCTCCCCACAACGCTAAACGGCATAAATATAAATTGATGGAACCAAGCAAGATTTGGGTAGAAAGCCAATATTAAAGCAGGCCAAATACATATTATTAGTCTGTGTTCGCCCTGTAAATGGCATCTGGCTAGTTGTGCTGCGGATTAAAACTAGGCTGCGAAATCTCATCCTTTCGACCCAACACATCACATTCAGCAAATTCCTAGTAATTAGTTAGTAGCCTATTACGACATACTTGTTAAGGAGCAATGGGTCTGCCCGTTCACTCTTATGTATTCCTACAGTAGGCCCCATAATCTATCCATAGGCTATTTCCTAACTATAAACCAGATGGGTTTAACAGGATATCGTTGCATAAATTACTACTGAAAGAAGATGAGAAATACTGACATTTTGAAAGATCAAAACATCGAGGAAGATTGGCTAATAAACAGCATCCTATCTCATAAGCTGTGGATTTCATTTAAAATGTTGTTTGACTTTGACCAACTTGGTGTTGTGAACTGTACATTCAGAAAATGGCCAGTGGCCTGTTGCCACAAAATTGGTGGTGTCGCCTTATGTGATTAAAATAGATCGCGTGTGCGGCTGCTGGTCTTTTTGTAACGGCTGCTTCCGTCGATAACGAATTAAATTTATAATGTCGGACTGATTGTGTTAGCATTTTTAATAGCTGTCTTATGCTTTTAATGCGTGTGTATGCTAGTGGATATGCTGAGACTTGCAGTGTGTGTCCATTTTTCTACAAAATTCAGTGATCGATATGCTTCGTGTTTTTCGTTGGCCCAGGAGCGGAGAAACTATGTGGTGACCCATTTGCTATAACTAAGATTACCAGATTACCAAGATTATCATGAGTAAGGAGGACAGAAACTAGCGATGACATTGTGGCAATAAAGAAAAACCCTGGTGAATCCCCCCCCCCCCACACCCACACACCTCCTAGAGCCACCGATAGCAAGACATGAATGCACTAAACTGTGACTACAAATCTTAACAAAAAGAGGGTGTGGGGCAACTTGAGTATGCACACAGACACACACACACACACACTCTCGCGCGCAAGCACACATACACACACACACACACACACAAAATGGGACATATTTTTTTTCGAAACAAACCCCAACAACAGCAAACTTTTTAATCCACTGGTTTTTTTTTGTGTGTGCTGTTTTTGTATTTTTTGTACAGAAAAGCTCCAGGAGACACGTCCAATTTTCTTTTGTGTGTACGGTACCTCCCCCACCCCCACTTTTTTTTTTCCTTTTCGTTAAGCTTTTTATTCACAGTTCAATTGATTAATTTCTAAGTATTATCTTGATTTCAGGCATTCACCAGTGTTTTCGGTAACCTTTGCCCACGGCTGCTGCAGATTTACTTCGTCAAGTATACCAAACCTGATATAAGTAGTTGTTCTACTGGGGGTTTCATAGTAACCAGGTCCGGCTGTATATAAATGTGTATAAATAGAGAAGGCCGTGATAGTAACAAAGTCAGCAGTCAGTCTATGATGTTGTCATCTCCATAATGTCAGTTTTCTGCAATAAATCTGCAAGCAAATACTAACGTTGTAAGGACTCGGAATTAAAAGAGGGTTGAAAGAAAAGAAAGAAATGTTACGGAGAGCAAGAATTAATTAAAACAGAGAGAGATAGAAGGGGGGGGGGGTGTGACCCTGGGGAGGGGGGTGGAGAAGATACTACTTAAATATTTGGTTCACTTTGGAAGACAAGACAGTTGCATATCCTTTGCAGCAGTGCCTACCAACGGCCCAACAAAACAAGAAAAATTGTGTCGCCACCTATCTGACAGTTAATGGGTGCTGCGTGGTCTCGAGCCATGGTGTCCGCCTCGAGTGCTAGAGGTTCTGGCTTCCATCCCCGGTAGGGGCTGTGTTTTGGACTTCTAGTAATTACCCCTGGTCTCTGTGTATTGAGATCGGACGCCCGTGTGCATTGTTGCGAACGTAAAAAAAATCCCTTGGCAGTTGGAAATCGAAAAGAGTAGCCTACGGCGCTGCCCAGGCAAAATTTGGAGTTAAAAATCTACCTAAAGTATTTTAGGACCCTCGTCGGTGCTACAGAGCCTTTGCACTGTGATGAGCTTCTTCAGACTCAGACTTGAGTTTAAAAAAAAAGAACGGAGCACTTATGGGTTACTACCCGTGTACCATGATGCTGATCCGTTGTTTAAACCTCAAATACAGAAAGAAAACCAAGTGTAGGCAGAAGTCTACTGGTTACATCCGATGTCATAAGAATCATTTCATTCTCATCCTTGAGGAGGTAATCATACTGACTGCAATCATAAAGAAGCCCCCTCCACTCCCACCATCCAGCTATATCTTTTTTTTTCTCTTTTTTTTATTTTCGTCTTCATGTTTGTTAAACTCCAGCGAAGTTTTGGTTGTTGGTCCAACTCTTGACTTAAGTCTTCTTCCAGAACCTGAGTGTTGCATGCACATTCGTTTTATAGATCTGACTCTTTCGTAGGCAGACTGTTGGTTCCTTGTCTCTCAGGCAGATGCACCCAATTTAGTCGACTCTTACGGTATGCTTATTAGGGAGGCAGTGGGTCTATTTATTCATTTAGACGTTCTCAATATTTCTGTTTTCCATTTCAGTGCCTGGTCTGTTCCACGATAATCTCTCAACGGACCGCCTAATACACACTAGCTCATTTCTGACTGGTCGACCTTCAGTCACACGACCTTCGCACACTGCTAGGGGTGTGTTTGGCAATGAGATTAATATCGCGTGTTGTGTATTTAAGCACGCCAACTCTTTTAACACTACAAAAACATTTAGAAACTGTGTCTAACACACAAAACCCTAGAGAGTGCTGCAACCTATATCACATGCATTCTCTTTCTGTGAAGAAAAACGTAAATGCAAGACAAGCCAGGAAGGAAACAACATAGAGGCAACCCGTAACCCCCCGGATATCAGACGATTCTAAAAAATTATGGATGGAACGGGCCTAGTTTGTTTGAGGAGATTATCGTGGAACTCACCCAGTGCCTGTTTAGGGGGTTCTCTGTTTGTCTCTTCTCAGAATGTGTCCAATATAGCATCAGCTTCTCTGACCTATAGCTGGTTATTTTAGAAAGCGAGTGAACAGTGTGAAGGCACAAATAGATCATTACGATTTGAGAATAATTTCGCTGCGGGGAGTTACCAGGGGATCTGGCCGACGCTCAAGAGAAAGGCGAGACGTAGGATATACAATTAGAAGTTACTGGTGCCATCAGAACTGGAATTCTGCGGAAGATGGAGACGAAGCCCTTATAGGAGTGTCCCGAGTGCTGTGATGTCAATTAATAATTCAGCATTCAACATAACTGGCTATATTACTTTTTTTCTATTAGACATTTATCTCAGCTCTTCACTACTCTTGAATTCATGCGATTGTATATTCATTATTTTCCTTAGGCATTTGTTTTCTAATGCATTTAACTTGCATTCCGTATCTTCAGTGGTTCATGTTGTACTCATCTATAAATAACACAATTTGATTGTATCACAGTTTTCTTCTTCTGCCTTTCTATCCCCCAATGGAGCATAGGCCCTCAACCAACTCACGCCAAGTCGTTCTATCATTCGCCAATCTTTTAATTTCCTTTGACCTCCACAAATTCCCTAGTGCCATGAAAGCCCCTCTTGCCTTTTGTATTCTTAATTTAATATCTTTATCAGTTCCTCCATCTTTATCTACATTGCTGCCCAAATAGGTGTATCACAGTTTTACTACCTTAAAATTATTAAGCTCATTAACCATACTAACGTAGCCATGAAATCGCCACCCGACATTTACATTGCAAGGCAATCGGCTAAACCACTTAGCCACTGAGACCCATAGTGTTGATATATAGACGGCGTAATGAGATAAGTTGAGTCCAGAATTTACATTAAAGCAGTCGGGGCATTCCCATGCATGCTCCGTCCTCATCTTCAGCAGCCAACGCAAAGTTCCAATACTGATGGCACCGGTCACAATCTGGTGAAATGTCTGTTTTGCCTTTCCTCTGAGTGTAGTCAGCCTACCAGACCCTCTGAATACACCCAAGTGCCTCATTCTCTCCAGGCTATAATAATCTTCTTTCTCTACTGATTCCAATGCTTGTTCCCAAAGGGCCTTGACTACATCTGCCCGGTCATGTATCAATTCACCACCCAGTGGTGCAGATCCAGCCTACTCGTCTGCCTGTTCATTACCCACCACGCCGGCATAGCCTGGATAAAAGATCCAAAGTATGCTCACTACCCGTGACCTTTCCAGTGAAGCTTTCCACTCTGATCGAAGCAACCCTGTCTTCACCTTTTTCAGCATGCGTTCAGAGTCTGTTACAATTATGACATGTGTATGCATCTTGTTCTCTAGCCACCGGAGAGCTGCAGTTACCGCCTCCACCTCCAGTCTCATGCTAGACGATGTGGTGTCGTATGCTAGGCTGTCTTGCACTAAATATTTTCCATTGGCTTTCGCTACGATTCCCCAATCACTTCTCATTTCTCTTAGCACCGAACCATCTGTATAGATAATAATATCACATGGGCGTGAATTGTCGTGCATCAACTGTTGTTCTTCAACCTTCGTAGCACCCTCTGGCCACTCTCTGCACACTCGGCCCAGTGTGATCATAACCCCTCACACGGCGTAAGAAGTTGCCAATGTAATCACTGAAAATATTTTCAAAAGCTAAAAATTAGGCGTTTTTTTTTTTTTTCATTAAAGAAGTTAAAAGTCGAATAGCTCAAGCAAAGGCAGCATTTTACAAAATGAAGAATATTTTTATTTTCTTTGTCAGTTTAGACGAGAAAGAGAATTCTTAAAAGCTATGTAAATCGTATATTCTTCTTCTTCTTCTTCGCGTTCACCAGCTGTAAACTCTGGCGAAAGGTTCTGGTTGCTCATCTACTACTGAAATGCAGTCCTGCTCCAGAAGCTGAGTGTTGCGTGTGCATCAGTTTTACAGATCTCATTCTCTTGAATACACACTGTTGGTTCCTTGCCTCTCCGGCAGATGCACTCCGACTTCAAAGGAAGCTCCCCAATAAGTCGACTCTTACGACATGCTTTTGGGGAGGCAGTGGGTCTATTCTTGTTTTCCCCACAATGGGGCCCCGGAACCCACACGGGGGAAATCGTATATTGATATACTGATGTAAATCATGGACAGTTAGTAATTTAGGGAAAACATCATCCACATCAGAAAGGGACAAACTACATTCTTTGGTCATGTGATGAGAAGGAGAACACTGGAGTACATCGTGATAGTAGGAAAGCTGGAGAGGAGGAGAGGCAGAGGGAGACTGGAAAACATTTGCTGGACGGTTCGACATCATGGAATAGAGGATTATCTGTGTCCAGAGATGATTGAAAGTTCATGAGACAGAAGGTTATGGGTAGACATGACTACTAACGCCACACGACATGGACTTTGAGAAGAAGAAGCTCTCTAGACCTATATGAAGAAGCTTCACTCTTTCCAAAAATCCTTGCAGCTCAACAGCGACTATCTTAGTGTATAAGTATAAGTGACATTTCGTACATTTTAGATGGTTTCTCAATGATTTATTCACTTCGTTACGACATTTAGACCAACCTCGATTTCCCCCACACGTTTTACAAAAAGTATAACCAGGATCCAACAAACGACTACCGCAATAAGAAACTGATGATTACATCTATTTCGACCTTTAACACAACCGGCCATCAAAAGTATTCTAAATTGTAAGGTCTATGCAAGTTTCTGTAAACTTACAGTTAAAAATGGTGTAGTTTTCGTCTAGCGAATGTTTAACTACATTGAGATTTGTATTTGATTTTCATTAATTACATAATCCCTAGCCCTGTGAGCCCTGTCCTACCTGTCTTTCAACTGAACCAGTTCACATTGAAGTGAAGGACAGGTAGATTCACGACCATTATGAGTTAGGCAGAGGGGTTGTTAGGCATGTCCACTGAATGGCTATTAGTTCACTGATCTATAGATATGTGTTTTTTTTTTCCAGTACGAGACCGTTTTTAGTTCAACATTTTATATTTTAGAAAGTGGGTCAAAGTAAGGGCTCTCCTTGCAATAACGGTCGCTAGTTGGACGGCCGCTTCGTCGGAGTTCAGTCCCCTGGCTGCAGTGCAATTACGGAGTGGAAAAGAGGGAACGAAACAAATGACATAATTAGGGGTAGGGTTTGGGTTAGGGTTACGGGTTAGAGTAACACATGTAATGTCGTGTACTTACCCATAATGACGGCCACTATATCTGATAATTTTGACACAGGAGTTCCAAAAAATGTGCTGCTTGTGGCAGTGGCGCCATTGGAACTCTGCTAAATATGATGGCAATAGCGCCCGGCTAGTGCCCAATTGGTGCCGAATTTTGCGTTTCAGTATGAACTCAATTTGTTTTGTGATTCGTGCCTTGTCCACTCCGTAATTGCACTGCAGCCAAGGGACTGAACTCCGACGAAGTGGACGCCGCCGTCCAAGTAGCAACCGTTATTGCAAGGAGAACCCAAAGTAAGTGTCTGAACAGCAGTCAGATTTATTTAGAGTTCTCATTAATCACTTTAAACCATGGATGTATAGAGTGGCCAGTGCGCGCTACAGACAGAATCAGAAGTTCAACAAATGATCCATTACAGTTCTCCTCAGGTGATGCGATTTATCTTTACAGATGGCTTTATGTTGAAAGGCAGACAAATTGCATGGAAAAAAAAAAGGGGGGGGGGGGGGGGGGGTCATAACTAAGGTGTATGGACATGGCTTAGTGCAACAAAACCTGGCATGTAATACCACAGCATTTATTTCATAATGGCGGTTTAGGCAGTCACTGCAGCTTTCCCCTGGCTTGATAACCAGCTGTACACTCATGTCATAATTGTAACTGACTCAGATAATGTTGAGAAAGGTAGAGACAAGTGTGCACCGGGCAGAGGGGCAAGCATCGCTCCAGAAATCCCAGTTAGTTAGCCTCCTTTGGATGTTTTCTGCAGGTTATGCCAGTGTGCTGGGAAACAGAAAGCAGATAGACTGGCAGATTCTGCACCACTTGGTGGTAAACTGACGCACAATAAGCTTGATGTTGTAAGGTTCCTTTGGGAGTGAGTGAACAGTGCTGAGGTACAAATAGATCATCATGGTCTGAGGAGTATGTTGCTGTAAGAAGTGACGAAGGGATCTGGCCAACACTCAGTACTAGGGGAAAGGTGAAACTGATATACAGTCAGACTGTTACTAATACCATCGGAATTGGAAATCTGTGCTTGCTGCTAAAGATGGGAACAGAGCTCTTATGAGAATGTCATGTGCTGTGATGTTGATTCTTAATTCAGCATTCACCAATCAGTCAGTCTATTCAGTTAAATTTGTACAGTCTTTGATTTTGAGTCTCGGTTTATTATATTAATATACTGAGACTAAGAACAGGGCACAACAGACATTGTCAACATATGTTCAAACTTTTCGGTGTAGGAAACATGGAGGCGTGTCCTTGTAGCATGACACTCGCAAAATGCTGAGCATGTGCGAGACACAATTTGGCCTGTTCCAACCACAGTGGAGACAAAGCTGTATGGTACTCGAGGAGATACGGACTGCATGATAGCTTTAATAATGGCTACCGGCCTCCTGATATGTTTTTCTCAGAGAAGGATCGAAGAAGAAGAAGAAGAGGAGGTTGATTAAAATTGTATTAGTAGCCTTAATACTAAACATACAGACTTGATAAGTTGAGCCTTGGTGATAGAAAAAATCTGCTAACAGAAAAGATGGCCAGAGGTAGTTAGGTAGTGTTTATAATGTACAGAGTAATAAATGGTAGTGTATATCAATTACAGAGCAATCAATAAAAGCATTGTGAGTTGCTATGTACTTCTTGTCATGTACAGAGTAATCAATAAAATCATTGTGAACTGCTTTGTACTTTTTGTCATGTACAGAGTAATCAGTAAAAGCATTGTGACCTGCTTTGTACTTCTTGACATGTGCAGAGTAATCAATAGAATCATTATGAGCTGCTTTGTACTTCTTTGTCTCCACTGGCTGTATACTCAAAGTGGAAAGTCCTATTCATTTGTCCACATCTGGATTTAAGTCTTGTTCCAGTACATGCATATCCCTTTTGTAGTTCTGACTTATTTGTCTGCAGATTGTTAGTTCCTCGCCTACCAAGTAGATACACTCCAACTTCGAAGGAAACGTCAGTCCTACCCAATTTATCTAGGTTCCAGGTGGAGAATCTGTTTCTAGGATGACTGTAAAGAGATAAAAGGTTTTGACCATATGTTCCCTGGGCCAGATAAACTGTCTAAGGGGACTTTTCATCTTCAATTTTCGGGAAATATCCCAGAATCAGATCTTGTGTCCTGGATTATTTTAACAACTCATCAGACTCTTGAAGGGTTGTCCTCAAAAAAAAAAAAAAAATCCAGGGAAAAATGATCACGTTAGCTCCCCCACCACATGTGATCTGCACCTCTGCATCCCTTGTTACTGATACAACTGATAATTTTTTTTTTTGGGCTAAATATTACACAAGTATACACACATACGGGAGTTGCTGTGGTGTAGTGGCTAGATTCTCACCTGCGGATCGGAAGGTCGTGGGTTCACTCCCTGGTGGAGCCGGGCTTTCTTCAAAAATGACCTTGGCCCCCAGATCGACCTAGCCTTGAGTGGGTACTGGGTGCAGTCTTTGGAAGTAAAGGCGGCCAGTGTGATACTGACTACATCACCCATCTTGTGCCGATTGGTCTATAAAAATATAGGTCTAGCCCTATATGCCCTATATGCCTAAAGGCATGGAAAAGGGTCATTTACCTTTTTTATACACTCATACAGGAGCCGCTATGTTCTAGCGGCAGATCGGAAAGCTGTGGGTTCGGTTCCTGAAAAATACTGACCACATCATCCACCAAGTGCCATTTGGTCTATAAAATAAAGGTCTAGCCCTATATACTCAATATGCCTGAAAGACGTTTTTAAGGGTTCTTTACTATACACTGATACATACATTTTGTAACATTTGATTAAGCTATATAAAGAACGCACACGTTAATATATGAGTGTACTAAAATTTAATGGTTTCTTGTTTCAGAAGAAGAAGCTAATGTAGACACACAAAAAATGGCATCAGACAAAGATGTACGACCTAGATTTGAAGAAACAACTGGTAACAAGACTGCACGGAAGATCAGAGAAAACCCCATGGTACCGATAGGTAGGGACCATTGTACTCTTTGCTATGACCATGCATGCACTTTGAAATACAATGTGCTGTGTGCTTTTTCATTCTCGCTGTCAATGAATTCTTCACCCGCCGACCTCTGTGTAAGCTGTGGTACAACTCATGCGCTTCACTGAGTCTCACAGTTTGGTTTTGACCTCAATTCTAACTGACCAAACCCTGCTGCATGTAGGGAGCATATGTGCAGTACATGTTCTAGTCCCCAGTTTTGAATTCCTTATTAGTCTTAGTCTTTGACAAGGTTTCAACTTCACCCGTCGGGTTACCCCATACTCGCTCTGTTCCTGTGCCAGTGAAAATCAAATGAACTGTCCCTCCCTGCCCCATAGACAAGGACTATTCAACTGCATTCACTCACATTCAGTACATTTGAAAATCTTTGACTGAATTTCTTATACATATGGTTTGAGTCTGTTGTGTCCAGTTTACAGTCTAAGTACATGTTCTGTTGATTTCAAGTTAGGAGGTTGATTGAGTCTTTGGGATTTGTTCTAGGTATGTCCCTGTATTTACTGTTTACTATTTATTTTAATCTCCATTATAAACAACCAGAGAGACACAGTAGTGCACTTTGCAGTCTCATCTACATAGGTGTAAAACTCATATTTTTAGAGATGTGGTTGGGAAATTAGCAAGCAGATAGACTGGCCGGCTCTGCACCACTTGGTGGTGAATTGATATATAAGCTAGATGTTGTGAGGGCCCTTTGGGAATGAGTGAACAGTGCGGAGTTACGGATAGATCATTATGGTCTGAGAAGAGATTGGGAGGAGTTACCCGGTGATCTTTCAGATGCTGAACACTCAGGGAAAAGGCGAGACAGATAAACAAACAGACAGCTACTGGTACAATTGGAATTGAAACTCTTCGCTTGCTGGTGAAGATGGGGACGGAGCGCTTATGGGAGTGTCCCGAGTGCTATGATGTTGATTCTTAATTTAACATTCAACATCTACCTAAGCAGAACCAAAACTGATGGCGTGGACCAGAAGTTGTGGGATGGTTAGGTTGATTACAGTCAGTCATCATCATCATCATATAGCAGGACCTATGCAGAACGTCACTCTCATCACAGTCTGCCTGAAAGAAACTCGGTCTCTCTACAGTCAGTAGATTACTGAAAACTATGTTGAAGCTGCCGAGATGTGACTTTATGGAAGAGGATATCTATTGAACACAAACTGAAAAGAATAAAAGTAAAGTACAAATAAAGACCCTTTTCCACTCCTTTAGACATATTGGGCAGTAGGGCTAGACCTAGACAGCATTCGGTGGAGGATGCGGTCAGCATCATGCCGACCAACTTTACTTTCCAGGACTTTACCTGGTAGCCATTTGAGGCTGGGTCAGCCTGGAAATTAAAGTCATTATTTTTTTTTTTAAAAGAAAAGAAAAAAAAAGCCGGCCGGCTCTGTTTGGATTTGAACCCACGAGAATAAGGATAAAATAAAAAAAATTATTGTAGATATATTAAGAGCTGAGTTTCTGAGAAGAACAATGTTAAAAACATGCAAATTTGTAAATTGGAGAGATTTTTCTCACCATGAGCAGATCTTATATAGCCAACTTATCGTGCCCGACTACTTCAATCAATGACAAACTGCATTTCTGGTGGCGACTGTTGGCTTTGGCATTACTGGCAGCTGCCACATGCATTTACTGCGTGGGCATATTCTGGATTGTCCCGGGACCAATTGTTTGTTCACCAGTTTTTTTCAGAGGAGACATTGAGAGACATCTAATTTGATTTGCACTGGCACAGAAACGGAGCAAGTATGGGATAACCCAATTGCAGTGAAGTTGAAACCTTGACTGAGACTAAGAGTGAGACTAAGACTAAGACTCACTGTCACTTTGGGCAGTGAGTCCCTTGTGTCCGTATAGCAAACTTCTTCTTCTTTTTTTTTTTGACAAGTTCTGTTTCTTTATCTGGACTTAACTGAATCTGAGTTTTGCATGCACATCTATTTTACAGATCTGACTCATTTGTATACAGACTGTTGGTTTCTTTCCTCTCAGGCAGATGCAGTCCAACTTAGCTCCTCATTAAAGTTACTCTTACGACATGCTCTTGGGCAGGCAGTATGTCTTTTGTTGTTTTCCCCACAATGGGGCCCTGGAACCTGAATGTTGACGACAAGTTAGTAGGAAGTTTTAGTTTCATAGAGATTGGGTTCTATTGAAGAATGATGAGAACATCGGGGACAGATTAAAAAGGGGAAAAAATCTAGAAAACAAGATGCACACACATGTCGTAGTTGTAACAGATTCTGAAAGCATGCAGAGAAAGATGAAGACACTGATGCTTCGAGCAGAGTGGCAAGCTTCACTGAAAAGGTCACAGGTAGTGAGCATACTTTGGATTTTTTCTCCAGGCTATGCCGGTGTGGTGGGTAATGAACAGGCAGACAAATTGGCTGGATCTGCACCACTGGGTGGTGAATTGATACACGACAAGGCAGATGTGGTCAAGGCCCTTTGGGAACAAGCAATGGAATCAGCAGAGAAAGAAGTGTCGCAGTGATTTCTGTCACAAGCGTGAGGTAAAGTTAAGCCCAACGTGATGTGTAAAAGGGGTTACTCCGTACCTCATTTGGGCGCCAGTCCTGCGCTGTTCTAGTTTCACGGAACCTCACGCAAGACTCCTGCAGCACGTCCTCGTCGTGCGCCACGGAGAATGTCTCAAATGAGCATTAACACAGCTGTCAGGGGATCTCGGGGTTTGGTGGCCCCCAGAAGTGTAGTGTCCTTGTGGCTCTCATCAGCCCGCCCCCAAACGCATGGGTGAAAAGCTTGTCAAAACTCATTAGGAACATGAGTAAAGTGCTTGCCAAACGTACAACTAAAATGTCAACATTCGGTTTAAAGCTTGTGGGGTGCTGAGACTCAACCCTTGACCTAGAGATTTACCCGCAGCACAGACGAGTAACATCTTCTGTTGGTGGCGTCTCGCAGCTAGATTCTACCCATGTACATCCTCTGTCAACCTTCAGTGTCGTCGCCACCGCTCTGAGGTGCACCATGACAGCAACCATCCATCGGCCGGTTAAGCCCAAATGTCTGACAAAAATTGATCCTACTTCACACAAGCAAGCTCAAATTCGACCATCATAAATCGTATTGACTGGAAAAAGTCCAAGTGTCCACATCCTGAGACCCCACTCGCTCGAGTGTTGGAACCAAACAGATAAAGACATGCCTGATGCATGATTCTTCATTCTGTCGTGCTAACAGCATGCTAAAGAGGATAATCCTGCGACGAAAAAGATAGTACCTATTCGTGTGGTCACAAAAGTCCAGAACCCACGGACTGCTTCGCGCAGATCTCCGGAGGGCGCTGCTCGTGTCGAGCGGGAAGCCTAATGCGGTTGTGAGGTTAAGCAGTTATGTGCAGGACGTGACAATTCCTTGGGTGAGCCCAGAATCAGAGCGTTATGTGCTGGCTCTGCATCTATGGAAGCCTCCTTGGATGGCGGGGAATGCCCATGATCTGCCCCTGCCTTCCCTTGAGGGCCAACCGTTTCTACACAGGGCTGTCCCAAATGGAGTACTTCGGGGGCAACACCTTTGGAGAAAGAGACAAAGAGGACACCACACAAATAAGGTCACATCTCGACCCACACAAAAAAATGGCCACAGTCATCCTAGAAATAGGCCTGACGTCTTCCCTCGAAGTCGGAGTACATCTGCCCGTGAGGCAGGGAACGGCAAAAGCCAGTAAAACGGTTTTACACGCAAAACTCAGGTCCAGGTAAAAGTTAAAAGTCCAAGCGGACGATTAACTGAGACCTTCTGCCGGAATTCACAGCCGGTGAACGTAGAAGAAGAAGAAGTAGAGAAAGAAGATTATAATGGCCTGGAGAGAATGAGGCACCTGGGTGTAACCAGAGGGTCTTACTACACTCAGAGGAAAGTCAAGACATATAACCAGATCGTGACCGGTACCATCAGTATTGAAACTCTGCGCTGGCTGCTGAAGATGAGGACGGATCATGCATGGGAATGCCCCGAGTGCTGTGATGTCAATTCTTGAATGAATTCAGCATATAAAAGGAAATCAATTTTCTGTTGGTATAAATAAACTCAAACAGAAAACCTGTTACCCACTTCAGACACAGACAGTCTACATTCACTAGGCTTGTCATGAGCAGAGGAAAACGAGAATATTGAGCCAGCAGGAAAGTTAGAGGAGGGGAGAGAGAGAGGAGAAGGAGAAGACCGTGAGAGAAAATGGTAGACATTTTGCCATCTCGGCTTGGAGGAAGGTTAAGGTTCGTTGCCTATCCTTTACAGGATGTTGCAGAACCAACCCCAACAGCCCCTGTTGTGTGGTTTCTCTAGGCAAATTTACATCCAGTAGTTTGCCATTGATTTCTAGGCAGTCGGCCCCCTGTACATGGCCCGCAGCTGGGATCGAACCAGCATTACGAAACGTTCACATCGACTTAGCCACAGAGCTGACTCATGGAGGAAGATTTGTTTTAAAAATCGTCTGCTCTAGGATTACACTGAAAAATTAACCTTTTTGCCCTATAAGAATCTTTAGAAATGATTTTTTTCAAAATCTGGCTAAAAAGAAACACAACCTTATACTTCTCTGAAACTCGGCTGTAAGAAACTAAAGGAGAAAGAAGAAGAACCTGAAAAAATTTGAGTCTTGGTCAGTTTTTATAAAAACCCAGGTGCTTGAAACCTATGACCACCAGGCAGACAGGCGAGTGTGATGGCCACCGCAACATAAGGACCATCACATCACGAAAATAATTCACATTAATTTTTTTTTAAACACTTAATCCTAACAAAGGGAATTAATCTCTAAACTATATTCTCTCCCTATGAGCGTGATAAATGCATTTTGTTGATCCCCAAAAAAATATATATTTGTGGAGGTAAATATAAATATACCCCCCATGTCTGCAAACCATGCAGTTATGGGGGGGGGGGGTGGGGCTGAGCGGTCTTGAGGTATGGCA